TTTCATTTCATAGTTTCGTGTGCATATATCACTGTTTTATTGATTATGGGTTGAATGACTGAGAACCCGATGTTGTATGTTGTCTTGTTTGGCATAAATTACTGGTTTGCTTATTTGTGTATGATTTGATGATGCTGATTGAGGAAAAATGGGAATGAAATGTTAAGTAAATTGATAATTGTATAATGTGGTCAGCCTGACTAGATATCCTGGGAGATGGTAGACGGACCGGGTCCGTAGGGAACCCTACCGGGATTGTGGTCTCTCATACCGGAAGGGGTATGGAGACCTTATGTGTTTTGGCGCCCATACCGGACGGGGTGTGGGGACGGCCCGTTTCACCCTCATACCGGATGGGGTATTGAGGTTTATAGTTTTGGCGCCCATACCGGACGGGGTATGGAGACCTTATGTGTTTTGGCGCCCATACCGGACGGGGTGTGGGGACGGCCCGTTTCACCCTCATACCGGACGGGGTATTGAGGTTTATAGTTTTGGCGCCCATACCGGACGGGGTATGGGGACGGCCCTGGAATCTGATTACAAGTGTTAAGGGTTCACGGGTAGCGGGACCCCTATGGATCCCCATGGATACTAGTAGGCTAGTAAATGAGGAAAAATATGTTGTGTAACGATTGAAATGCAAAAGGCATGATAAGTATTATGTTATACAGTTCATATAATTTCATGATGATGATAATGTTATTGCTTTCGTATGTTATTTTATGAACTTCACCGAGGTAAGTGGATAGTAAAGGATTTTATTATTGATAAAAAAATTTGTTGTAAATTATGCTCCATTGGTCTTTTTGTGTTTTCTACCAACCTTTACCTCTGTGACGGTGAGATAGTGTGATATCTTTACTGGGCTGGTGTAGCTCATTTCTTATTTAATCATTTCATATCAGGAAGACATTGTTCCCGAGCCCGTTCCGCAGGAAGACGGCGAAGGGGACGCCTGAAGACTCCGTAGTTATATTTATAGCTTTTATTTTCGAGTTTCTCTTTTAGTTAGTTTGTTCTTTTATACTTTGGACACGTTTTTGGTTTTAGTGTAAGGGATGTTAATCAAAATTTTTATTACGCTTCCGCATTTTACCTTTTTAATACACATATTTCATTTAAAAATTCCGAGGCCGTTACAATAAATATAATAATATATATATATATATACATACATATATCTTCTACCAAACATTCATTTGGTTATATAAGGTAGTATCTGCTTCTAGTGACCTTTCACTATTTTAAAGCGTACAGGTTCATCTCTTTGTAATTTAGCATCTTCTAGATCAAAAATGCCGTCATTTGTTCTGTGACAGTTTTTATCAGTTTAAATTAGTCAGACTCTTACTGAATAAATTACACATTTTCATCTTAAAATGAACAAAAATTACAAAAAAATATATAAGTTATGGGTTTTTGATAGATGAAGACATGTTTATTTACGAAAACATGAACGTAGACAATACGAATGCTTAAAAATAATTTCCTAAATATAATTTTATTTTCTAAAAAATTTACCTTCATTCACTCTAACATATTTTTCATGAATAAAAACATGCACAGATGCTAACTAGACTTTTCTAAAAAAAATTTTGGCTTTAGCACTTTATTATTACTATTATTATGATTAATATTATTACTATTGTTTTGCATGAAAACCTGTTATTGCCGAAAGAATAAACACGAATGGTGTTTGCTGGTACATGTTGAGCAGGAAGGGAAGGTGTTGTTTCATATTACAGCACATTCAAAGGTTACTAAGCAAGAAAAGAAGGAAGTGCTGGACAAGTACTTACATGGTGAAAGAAACACAGGGTCAGTGTCAATCATCAATTTTTTACATATTCTGGTTTCTTCTTTACTTTTTTCTCTTGGACTGCTGCCGAGGATTCTTGCAAGTGAGCCGGTTGCCAGGTATTTTGGGCTTATAAAGAGGAAGTGTAACCTGTGAGAAGTATGTTAGATATAGATTATGCTGTATGAGATTTTTCCTTCTTAGGCTCTCTGTTCCCATTAGGCTCTTGTATTTTATTGGGAAAATAATCTTATTTAATTTCAAATGGTAATTCTCTTGGACAGTTCAAGTTTTTTTATTTGTTTTACACAAAACTGTAACATTTTTTTTGGGACAATTCAGTCTTTGTAATTTGATTTTTTTTTTTCTTTTAAATATTTTGTTGACGTTTATACTTGTTTGAGTCTTTAATTTCTTTTTCCTCAAATCAAGATATAACATTTGTATTGAGTATTAGTAAAAAAAAAAACATGTTTTTTATTTGTTTTAAAAAAATTATTTTACATGTACCAAGAAAGTCGCATCTATATTTTAAAATTTGTCAACACGACGATATTATTTTTTCAAAAAAAAATAATAATAATCAAAATCGTAAATAAACATTATAGCAATATCGGGAGTTAAGTTCTCTCCTACATGAAAACAAAGACGAGAACGAACTGCCCGTGCAGCGTTATGGACTACCCCATTAACTTGTCTGCCAGGCCAGCTTATAGAAATATTAGGCCTAAATGATAATAAAAACTTACAGTTATTAATAATGAATCCAAATTTCCAACAATTTTCTCCGATGGTTGTTAGTGTATTTCTGACTCTCTGCGTCCATCTCAACGATGTCCGACCCAGCGGTATTAGAACTTATGTATTGCAATGCGTTGCGGTAGTCAAGTAGTTCGGCAAGATATGGAGAGCAATAACCTTGTAGCCTGCTTGAGAATTCTTCATATGGAGTCTCTTACAATTGTTCTGTATCCCGCCTCAAAGCAGGCATGAAAAATTGTACTATCCACATTACATTTTCAGACCTCATGAAGGGGGGTGTTTGCCACTGCGTAAAACTTGGGGCAGTGCTTTTGATCTCCTGAGCCTGTCTCCATTTTTGCATGTATTTTTTCAATAGGAAGATGGAGTTCTGATCAACGAATATTTTTGCAATCCACAGGGTCTCATTCCTCTCAAGCCATATGCGCCATAGGCAGCAGAATATCCCTCCACTATCCGCTCCGACAGTGTTTTAGCCTGGTGTTCTATTCATCCGAATACATTACTTGTAAGTAGTGCCTGTGGATTCATACTCAGTTTCTCCCAATAGCCTTGGGCTTTATTCGCATTTAAAGAAAACATGTTGGATAGATTCCTCCTTGTCGCATCTACTGCACTCTTTTGCAATTTCAATTTCTTTCTTATTCGATTTAATTTTCACCAGAATGAAGTTATTCAGTTGGCACCGCATGATGTTCTGAACTTCGGGTGGGATTTTCGCATTCCACAAATATCCCCACATGACTTGCATTGAAGTCCGTCAGATGCTGGTATGCCGATTTTATTGTATATTTTCTGTCTCCCGAGTGACTCCAAACACACCCATCCCTCCCTACTTTTTAAGCTCTACGAGATGCTCAAAATGAGGTCAGCTTCTTCCTCCACAAACAAACCTCTGACCATATTGAAGTTCCAAACAGATTTCTTTTTATGTTTTTAGTAAATTATCAAATTTTTAACATTATAAATCTATTTCACAATAACTTAATAAATTAGTTATAAAATTTGATACGTATTTTTAGTTCTTAATATTTTCCTTCACTATAATTTTTTCTTTGACATTTTATATATATTTCAAAAAAGTAATTTTTATTCATTTCTTGAAGAAAAAATTTGAAATATTCATTTTAAATGTCTAAATAATTTAACAAATCAAAAAAAACTTTTATCAAATTTCATATAATTTTTTATATTTAAATTGTTTTGAAATTTATATAAACTATTTTTTAAAGTGTACTTGTTTTAATTTTTTTTGTTAAAAAATAATAAAAAATTAAAAATTTGAAACTAATATAAAGAAACTAATAACCAAACTATAACCAAAATATATATATATAAATCAAATTGTGTATAAGTTGTTAATTTACTTTCATCTTTCAAATTCAGTTTTTACATTTTAATAATGTTTATTAATACCAACTTTGGTGCACCACGTCAGACCGAACTCAAAATAATAGGGCTCTAGATGGTGGACATGCCTAGTGGGGCACAAATGCTTGGTCCATCGGGCCTATAGATACATCTTTGTACACACACCATTGATCCTATGGGTCAGCAATATACACCCATTTGGAGATTGAAGGCAAAGAGAGCTTCATCTACACATGCTGATTCTGAACTGATCAAAAACATGAATCTAATAGTAGCACTGGTTCTGGTTCTAGATAATTAGGTCATCGCGACATACCAGGAGTTTATGAACATAATCTACTCTGAACGTCTACTGTGTGTTAAGTATTCTACCAAACCCTTCAGATTAGTTTTTAACCCAAAATTAAAAGGATCAACTCAATGTCTATAAGTTTCTGACTTGGATCATTCAATCATATTTGTTCTAAAGGTTATGTTTGAAATAAATAAAAAAGAACATAAATTTCATTTACAAATTTACACTTAATAAAAATTAAAACAATCAAAGATGGTAACCATTGAAATCTTGTGAAAATTCAAGTAAAAATTAGAGTAATATATTTTAAGTTCTACCATCTCACTTCTTAACAAATCAATCAATTTTGTAATTAGTTGAACCATATCTTAAATTGCAAATGGTTCCACAAAATCTTCATTTTGTTCCCGACATAGTCTGAGTGTATATTTACAAATAAGTTGAAAAAAATTCTGAAATTCTTCCAAACATAACCTAAATCTGCATGTCAATAGGTGCAGACAGCCACAGAGAAAGAACTCGTGATTAAGCTCCAGAAGTTCATTGAAAGCAAACCCAACAAAGTATTAGCACAATCAAACTAATGCAATGCAACAGAAACTTGCAACATTAACAACGGCGAAATTATTAGAAAATAAGCAGAATCCAAAGTACATAACTGTAAGCTAGAGATCAATGAAAGCAAGCACCTAATTTGGCAGAAAATGATAAACTTTTGTGGTCCCAAGGAAAGCCCACTTTCACTTTGCTCAAAATTATTGCGGTACACATTCGGCAGCAGAAAACTCATAGGAACTTCCTGTATGGCCTGCCAGCATCTTCATCTTGCATATGCTGTCGATACAGTAACCAATGTTTCATTTAGCAAGTTGGAAATAAAAACAAAGGAAAATCGTTATGAAGCCTATATAATAGGCCCCCAACTAAATTAAAAGGAAACTCATTTTCTTAAACTGAATTTAAGACAAGGTATAAAAGGTTGATTTTTGTAAAAGAATAAATATTACCATTAAAATAAGAGAAAGCCTTTTAACGAGATACAGAAGAGAAGGTATCCTCCAGCAAAAGAAATAAAAAAACCTTTTTGCAAAGTGGATAATGGCAGCCTTGAAAAACAAACCAAAAGCCTTAATCTAAACGGCAGCAAAAATAAAATTACTCTCTCCAGCATGTTCATTGGATGAAACCATTGCTTGAGTATTCCAGGATTACATTTTAACCTTATGACCTATATCCCAGAGCAACACCTTACCCTCTTTCCTCCCAAAACCACACAAAGATATCCAGGTTACACGAACAAGCCAAAACTCAAGAAACAAAAATGAAACAAAAAGAGACTAAATAAAGAGATTGAGACAAACTAACAATGATCCTTTTTGCAAAGTGGACAAAGACAGACCCAAAATAAACCTTGAGTGGCCTAAGTTCTTGTGTGAAGCAATAAGACAACATTTTGCCCAAAGTATGATCATTTCATTGCTTGAATACTCTACCATTACATTCTAACCTTAAGACATATACCCCAGCAGAACACCTTATTGCACCTTATTCCTCCCAAAACCACACCAAGTATTGGATATAAAGATATCTAGGTTAGGGAGACGAACCCAAAGCACACCCAAAAATGGCAAAAGAAGAAAAAAAACAACCCAGAGCAAACACTTTAAGCCACCTAACCACGAAAAAACAAGTGACTGTCAGATGTGATAAAATTTTATTGGCCTAAAACACCCCACCCTTTCACAGCTCGAGGGATTGCTAGGCTCTTTTTGGAGCATGCTTGTCGACTGCATGACACTCCACAAGTGCTGGTGTCAGATCGTGACAAAATTTTTATAAGTCTCTTTTGGCATAAATTTATTAAGTTAACAGGAACTGCTCTTCATCTTTCACCTACTTACCACCCTAAAACAGATAGTTAGATTGAGCGCCTCAATTAGTGTATTGACATGCATATATGGTGCATGACTCATCAAAAACCTGAAGTTTGAACTAAATGGTTGGCCTTGGCTGAATGATGGTACAACACAACTTACCAACCACTCTAGGTTGAAACTCACCCCATTTCAAGTGGGCATATGGCTCCTCATTTTACATATGTTATGGAATTCACAACTTCCTTGGAGGTTGTAGAGCAATTGATGGCTGAAAAGCAGCTGATGAGCCAAATGATAAGGCAGAAGTTGATAGAAGCTTAGAATAGAATGAAAAAGTTTGCAGATATGCATCAGACTGAAAGACAGTTTCATGAAAAGGACTAAATTGAAACTCCAATCTTTTCAGCAATCTCTGTTATGGGTCCTCGCAACTCCAAGCTCTCTCCATATTTCTACGGGCCCTTTGAAGTTGTTCAAAAGATTGGTGATGTCACCTACAAGTTGAAATTTCCAGACACTTCAACGATTCATCCGGTCTTTCATGTATCCCTGTTGAAAAAAAAATTTCCAAGAAAGCATGATTTCTTTGAAGACCTTTCTGGTTATGATTCTACTGGAACTACAATTGTCCAGCTTGCTCACATCTTGTAACGCAGGCAAGTTATCAACGATGGTAAGGAAAAAGATTGTCTTAGTTCAATGGAGTAGGTGTACAGCAGAAGACCGGACTTGGGAAGATTTTGAATTCCTCCAACAGCAATTTTGGGGGGCGGGTATTGTCAGTAAAATTTTAAAGGTTAACTGTCAATGTGGGAAGAAGAATGGTATCAGTTTGTTGTTGAACAGAATCTGCTGAAACTGTTACAGTTATGGCAGTTGAATGGCATCAGTTAGTAGTTGAACAGATCTGTTGGGACTATTTAGCAAGTTGTTAAGTGTAATAAGTCAACTATAAATAAGCTGTAGGCGACGATCGAAAGTAATTTTTGCAGACTTAATAGCACAGTACACTCTTTTTTTGCAGACTTAATAGCACAGTACACTCTCTCTCTTTCTCCTCTCGACCTAGCTCTGTTCTCTCTCTTCTCATCTCCTCAACTTCTTTTCTCACCTATCCCAATCATAAAACTAAAATACCATTGACATATCAGAGTCCATGTCTAGAACTCCTGATAGGATCCCCCAGTCAGTGGTCCTTCTACAAAGAAAAAGAAAAAAGAACCATTCCCCAATATTGAACAGAATAGATGAAAGAATCTATCAACTTTTTTTCTGAAATAAAAAGTATAACGAGTATATTAATACAATAGCACCAAGGGATGCTACCCATGTATAAAAATTATTTATAATTCAGTCAATATATCTATAAAAATCCCAAAATCCTCCTCCCTATTAATATCATGATCTAACCACAAAGATCTCATATAGTGTAGCCGTCTATCCCTAATCCTGTCAAATTCATCTTCAACCCCCTCAAAAGCCCTTTGATTTCTCTCTTTCTACACGATCCAAAAGATAGAAAGTGGAATGAGATTCACAAATTCCCTCCCCCTACTAATTCATTCCCCAAGCCCATAATCCATCTCAAACGGTGCCTATTATAACCCAGTTAATGCCAAAAAGCCATAAACCATGGATCATAAATTGTAGACCACCGAACACCATAAAAGAATATGATTACAGGACTCCGCATCCGTTTTACACATAAAACATCCATTCATTAGAATTTTAGCCCTCCTTATTAATTTATCAATGGTCAATACATATTCTCTACCCGCTTCTCAAGCAAAAAATGCAACTCTATGAGGGACATTCACCCTCCATATTTGTCTGGCCAGAAAGTTGTCCACATCTCCATTATGTTTAACCAGGTGCCTATAATAGGACTTGACCTTGAAGTTTCCTTTCTTCTTTAGTTTCCACCATGGTTGATCACTGTTCTCATTCATAGAAACGGTAGCCAGTAGTCTAAGCAAGTTCTCATATTCTTCAATTTCCCAATCATTAAGATTTCTAATAACACTGATGTTCCATTCCCTGTTGTTGTCCCAACTCTGTACGCTTCCTCGACAATGATGTTTTTGCACCGGGCAATGGCATAAATATGAGGAAACTGAATACTGAGCTTTCCCCCTTTGGGCCACTCATCTTTCCAAAACGAAATGTTGTTCCCTCTTCCAACTTTCCATGGGATGCACTCCTGAGAATTCGTCTCCCCTTACTCATCTTTCTCCAAAACCCCGCCCTGAATGGTCTAGCACTCTCTCCATTAACCCCACCCCACCCCAATCCCAAGTCCCCCACTTCGCATCAATCACTCCTCTCCTCATCCTATTACCTTTCCACAAGTACCTCCACAACTATTACCCTTCTAGAGCTTGATTTAACTCAACAAAGGATCTCAACTACAACCCTCTAGAGGCAACAGGTTTTTTGACCTCCTCTCATCTCACCAAGCGATATTTTCTCCTCCCTTCTTCATCTCCCTACAGGAATCTGCATTAGATTGCCTCCAACCTTTTTGCCACTTTCACCAAAATTGTTAACAGTGATTAATTGTAAGTAGGAAGATTTTGTAAAGTACTCCTTAACAGTATTAATATTTCCCTTTTAGACAAGAACTTCCTCTTCCACCCCGTCAGTCTCCTCTCAACATCTTGATCATCAGCTCCCAAACTCTCTCATCTTTGTTCTTTTTTTTTTTTTGAAATAAAATAGAAGTATATTATTATAGATAATATACCAATGGAGTACTGCCCATATACAAAATAATTACATATCAGTCAAGTGGTCGATGACTATCCCAATCTCTTCCCAATCTTTTATGTCATGACCTAACAAAATAGAACAAAAAGTGTTAATCCATCTATTTCTAACTTTTACAAAATTAGTTTCAATATTCTCAAAAACTCTCATATTTCTTTTATTTCACACTAGCCAAAAAATGGTTAGCGGAACTAAGAATAAAAGTTTTTTCTTTTTGCATACACGCGACCACGTCCATAGTTCCTTGTCAATCGACTCTGTAATAACTCAATTAATCGTCATAATCCTATAGATAGTTGTCCAAATATTGTAAATAGTCGGGCAATTCAGTAAGTGATTACACGATTCCTCAGCACTTCTACAAAGATAGCATTTGTTAAGTAGAATCTTGTCTCTCCTCTTCAACATATCAATAGTAAGGATATTTCCTCTGGCAGCTTCCCAGTTCTCCAAATACTTCCTCTAACATTGTAAACCCTCTCATCTTTGTGTGAGAAACATAACGGAAAGCCAAGGTATTTTATTAGAAGCTCCATTGTTCTGCAATCCAAAACACTTGCCAAACTCCCCCAATCCCTCCCTTCACCCAACCTCACTAATTCTGATTTATTCAAATTGATGTTCAATCCCGATACCGCTTGAAAACACAACAATATACCCATGATATTAAGTACCATCTACTTATCTGATTGACAAAAGATAAGAGTATCATCAACAAAAAATAGATGGGTTATTGCTGTCAAATCAATATTCCTTCCCCCCATCACTCCCTTGATTACATCAATCTCTCAAGTCCTCAGTAACAGTCTATTGACTGTTTTCATAACCACAATGAACAATAAAAGGTAATAGTGGATCCCCCAGCCTCAACCCTCTTGTTGCCCTAAAGAAAAATGAAGCACCCCCATTTACAAGCATGACAAAAGAAGTAGAAATCATATAAGCATGCACCCATTATCTCCCTTTCTCACCAAATCTCAACCTCCTCGACATATACTCAACAAAATCCTAACAAATATGATCATAAATTTTTTCCATGTCTAATTTACACAGAACCCGCTTCCTCTTTCTACACAATAGCTCATCCACCACTTCATTTGCCATTAGCACAGTGTCCATAATTTGCCCCCCATCCACAAATACATGTTGACTCTCCCCAATTACTTACCCCAATACCTTGGACATTTTCCT